CCTCGCCCTTCCCAGCGACCGCCCGTTTCCGCAGGCTTCCTCGCCGCCCGTGCGGAGATAAGTCGACATGAAGCGCTCGGACGGGAAAAGAGGGTTTTTTGTGCAGCTTAAAACACTAGGGAGTTTGTGCACGACATAGCGCACAGCACTATCGACCTTCTGCGCATGCGCAGTTCAACTTTCGCACCATTTTAGTGCATTTGCGCTTGCGCAGATCTATAGTACTATGACGAGCACAAACTCCCTATTAGCGAGTTTAAGCACGGCAGAGCTTTGCAGCAATCGACAGCAAGATCGATCTTCTGCGCATGCGCAGTTCGAGTTTCGCATCTTTTTTGTGCACCTGCGCATGCCCGATGATCGATAGTGCTGTCCGCGATTGTGTACAAAGAGTCCCAATTTTTTTAGCATCTGTGCGAGCGTAGAAAAATCGATATTCCTGGGACGCTACGCCGCCATGCTTCAACGCGGCTTAAAAACAGCTCTTTCGTGTGCAATATGAGCGCGATTTTAGCTTCTGTGCATGCGCTAACTGTAACTTTACAATAAGTGTTATACCGGAAAACGACACCCTACCAGAATTATCAGATGTAGTCACTCACTTCGTATGATGTATGGTGTATGGTACATAGGATGTTGTACTATGGGAATTTAGCCCAGCTGCACTCTTTGCCGTCAGAGATCGATACTTCCTTTTATCGAAGTCATTGAAAGTAACGCGCTTTATACCTCCAACAATGTGGGTCAAGTAGTTGACTTTACAATGAATCATATCGTTTCAGCGTACATTTGTACGAAATCTCTCCATGTCAGCGACGTCTCCGCCTACTCCTGTTCCTATACACTCGCATCTCTCGATAATTTAGTCAAGGAGCAGTGGAGTTTTGTTTTCCTCTACACAGCAGAAACACATACCTTCGCGCATTTTCTGGCATTGCACTCAAAAACACTGACGAGGAGGAACTAAATGGATAAGCGGAATTAAACGGAAGTCGAGTTGTCGTATGCGTACTCATGGGAGACAATGACGAGAAGGGTTAAGAGGAAAACACGCAAAATACCTTGCAGGAATTACTTCATCGATTAAGTAGGCGGAGTTTAGCAGGTGCTCTTTTGGGTATAGTTTTCAAACTGTCAGCTACTACATGTGGGATTTGCGGTGAAGCTGATTCAAACAGAGATATTTTGCGGTTTCCGTTCTTCTGCGTTCATTCCACCGTTAATCGCATCATTATTCTCTTTTTTAATCACCATATCATGGATTATATCGAAATCATAACGAGGTATCGAGTGATACGCCGTTTCTGACTGTCCTAAAGCCGTGATGGCGGAGTTTATATTCTGGCAGAGACAAACATTGTGTCGTCTTCCTGCAAACTAAGCCAAAGGAATGATAATAAAACAGGGTTGACAGTTGGTATCAAACGCCCTAATCTGAGGATACAAGGGAGTTGGCAGGTGAGGAGAAGTAGAGGGAGAAGGAGAGGAGTGATACGAATCTACTGAACTTCTGTTCCCGTATACATTCGTGTATTCGCGTATACATTCGTGATCGTTTGAACGCCGATACATTCAGTTGCAGCAGAATTGCCACCCAGCAAACGCAGATATCCGCTGGTCTCTCTCTTGAGGTAATTTACATAAGAACACTGAGATCAAACACAAGTAAATATATTATTCGTGAATTCTTGTAACCAGAATCAATCGGCAAATATTACCTTATCCACTTCCCGGATATCTTGTTCCTTCCTTTAGAAACACCGATAAATTTACTGAACTACCTTCCTGAAGGTTTCGCCTAAGTTCTAAAATCCTACAGTGGCCACTATTTGGATTTTAAAACCAGATAGTCACATTAATAAATCAGGTCTACATAGAGGCTTCCATTCTTTCGCGAACTCCATCCAGTAGAGGGATGAGGAGGCGGAGTAGGGTAGGGGAGGAGAAAAATGAACAGAGGGACGGGGAGATGTAGAAGGGGACTAAGGTGGATGTAGAGATAGAGGAAGACGTAGAGAAAGTGGATTTGGAGGGCAAGGAGAAACAGGTGAAGGTAGGGAAATAGGAAGAGGATCAGAAGACACAACGAGCATAGAGAAACTAAATGAAACACTACTTGAAGCATTTCCTGAGAAATTTCTTCCCACTTTGTTCTTCCCACATAACACCTCAGTTCTGGTTTCCTTGCAGGGGCTCCCTCAAGAGCGCGTCGGCGTCGCGGGAGGGTGCGAGCAGCATCGCGGCGCACGTGCGAAGGCGAGGGCGTGGGCGTGGGCGGCGGCGCAGCGCGGGCGATGGGGGCGTGGCGCCGGGCGCCATGAGGCTGCCGGCGCGGCCGCGCCAGCCCGTGGGCCTGGGCCTGGGCCTGGGCCTGCCCCCGCGGGCGCGCACCGGAGCGCTCCTGGGGGCCGGCGGGGAGTGGTGCTCCGCAGCCACGGACTGGGTGCGCTCCTACTGCCTCAGCACTGGCCAGCACGGCTACCGCTACCTGGCCGAGAACGGCCTGCGCCTCTCCGAGAGGTACGCGCGGCACCGCGTGTTTCCTTCGTATTCCAGAGCGGGGTGGGTGGGGCAAAGCAGGCTCCGACTACACTTAAGGGTAAAACTCACAGGAAGAGACACGGCAGATTCAGTAACGCATACAGGGCGCAACGAAAACTGGCGTAAAAAGTACAAAAGTAACGCTGTCAAAAGTACGACAGAAATGAATATATATATAAAAAATTTATAAGTGGAAAGGATTAAATCGTACGAGAAGAGAGTGGATGAATGAAGAATGTAGCAGGAGCATGGGTAATAGCACCATCTATTTCCAGTACTTCGTTTCAATGAAACACTTTTCAGATTTGTTTGAGTAGAAGTAGGTTAGAAAGTGTGTAAACGAGTACATACTAATTTATACTACTTGAATGCATTTCCTAAGAAATTTCTTCCCGCATTTTGTTAATAACACCTCAGTTCAGGTTCTATGCGAAATGGGCGGCCTCGAAAATTAAGTTTCTCATCCATCTCCAAAATTACGCAAAATATACGTGTTTTTGAAACATTGAACATTACCTTATTTTCGTTTAACTGATTTTGAAGAACACATGTCATTAAGAAAAAAACATTTTCATTATTGTAGTTGTAGAAAGGCAGAGGAAAAAATTAACTTTTGCAATTTTCAAAAAAATTGGTGCAGTTTTTCAGACATTTGTTTAATAAATATAAAATCGCCTACATTTCAAAAAAAATTATACGAAAACAACTGAAAAATTGGCCATAATCCTATTTCAAAATCCGTCTTTAAAGAACAGATTTCATGAAGGAAAAATCTCTATCTTGAAATTTTTTCGTCGTAGGAAGACACGGAAAAAAATTTTGAATTTTTGCAATTTTTCAAAATTTAGGGATTTCAAAGAAAGTCACACCTGTATCATTCTCTTAAGAGTTCATTACACTATCCGACAACAAAGTTTAGTAAAAAACTTGACTCTTATTGAAAATTTTGAAAACGACTAAGTAGCTTCGTGCAGTTAATATTTAAAATTAAAATACCGGATCCAAATTCCAGGGAACATGACATCAGCCAGATCGATTGAGGAATATCAATTTTGGAGAAAAGCTGAACGGTTTAGTCGTTTTCGTAGCTCACGGTCAGGCAGAAGGACATACGTTTTATGTAGTAGAGACTGGAAACGTATGGACAGTTATCTTTCTCGAAGACTTTAAAACGTTATCACCAGAATCATGTGATTGTTCTCAAAATACAATGGTAGTATTTATCTCTTAAAAGAGGAATGTCTGTCCTTCACAATCGTAGTCTGCCACATGGCAAACTGAACGTGTCGGAATGTGGCATCAAGATGAGTACATGATTATCGATTGATTTTGAACTGGGTCATATATAAATTACACAAATTTTAATTATTGAAGTTCTCATCATATTTTGATAATGAAAGTCTTTTCCTTCCAGGCATAAGGACACTATGTGTATTATCCAACATAAAATTACAATTAATATCAAAATATGTGCAATTCCTTCGGACTGATTTACGTTTTAAAGACCAAGAGACACACCAAACTCTGCCGTCGTATAATAATTTCCGCCCTAATTCATACCTTAAAAAAGAGCATTTTTGTCAATTAAATAACTACAGTAATTCAATGTTCGTATCTCTGTTTGTACTCTGCGAGTGAAACAATTTTTTTAGTATCATATCTCAGCGCAGAATTTTTAGAAATCTAGAGTTATTTTTTTCAAATCCACGTTTAAGGTTTTAATGCGTTTTAACAAATTTATTCAGAAAGCTAGAAGTATTGTATTATAAGTGAAAATATTATTTGCAATTTAAGTTATCACTGAGGCCCACAACTGCAGCTTGTGGCGTCATAGTCCAGGAGACCTCAAAAAATACTAATCTCGGAGGAAAACAAAATATGAAAATATACTAATTTATCACTAGTAAAATTATATATATATATATATATATATATATATATATATATATTCGTCTCAATTTGTAAATTTAAATTTTGAATAAAATTATTTGAAGATATTTTTTAAATAATTCTGAAAAAAAAGTTAAAATCTCCAATCTCAAAAATGTTATTGTGGGCAGTAAAAAGTGGGCCATCAAAAATACTTTAATTTGGGGCGTCGAAAATGGTAAATCCGCTGCCGATGCTGCATGAATGCACCAGTGCACTAAAACAAATCGTATAAAAAACCTTTCAATTTCCAGTATTTGCTTTACTTTCGTTTTCACTCTGGTTGTTTCTTTTCCTTAGGGGGGCTTCATTCCCAACTATATTTGAAGCTACTTCAGAGCATGCATGAAAAACACAAATTAATAACCACACCCCCACACACTTACTCACGAGATAAACAACTCTAGATATAAATGCCAAATGGATAGTAAATTAGTGGAGTACCGACGCAGAAAGATACTGAATCCGTAGTAGACTGCGCAACTCATGCTTTTATTACAACTTTGCAGATCAAAATCGCAAATTCGTCAAAATACTTTGATCGCCAAATGCAGGTTAATCTTTGAAATGTGCCTGGGCACTGACTGCAAAACCAGGAACCCGCTGAAAAGAGAGAATATTTACATGGGTCTTAGTGGAAAAGTAATTTCCTCGTAAGTTCCAAGAACAAAAATGGCCTATAAAATAGACGACCGCTTAATTGTGGTGGCCGTTTTAGCAGAATTCAAAGTTTATAATAAAAGCCTTCGTCTTAAAAAGACAATGAAACAAACTCATATATAAATACTGATATCTGTTTGGCGTAGTGTAAATGTGTAAGTGTATATTTGTACATTAATTATTTTTAAACTAAATAATTTAAAAATACAAATCTGACAAATGTAAACTTAAAAAATATTTTACTTTCATTTGTAAGTCAAAAAATAATTTTGAAATGCGTAAATCGTAAAACATTTTTGCCTCGAACGTGGTCGAGAGTTGAGAGACTTTTCTTCGCCTACGAATGGATGAGTTTACCACTTGTCAGAAATACGTTTTGAAGGAGTGGTGCTCATAAAAGAGCGACCGCCGATTAGTTGAAAGATAACCTTTGCAGTGAGTCAACAATCTAATCATCTTGTACTTCCTGTAACGTCAGCTTCGGGATGCGGTATGATCCTTCATGTATTATCAGTTCGTGTGACAGACTTCCTCTGAACCACAAATCTGAATCATTTCCATAACCTCTGAAAAGAGATGCACACAAGTGCAGTGTGTGACAACTAATTAAAGGGCAATTAGAATTGAAAAACCGCACAATAAACCCTTCCTCGAAATTGTCCAGATACTGAACAATGTTCAGATAAATAAAACTCCATAGAACAAACAAAGGAAGAGGCAATGAATATCAGAGATTTTGATCTGTATTTTTCTGCCATTTTGAACGGTTTCTGGAACAAGAATTGAGTATAACGCCCAAACACAATTATTGAAAATTGAATTCTCAATAGAACTTTATGATCACAATAGAACAATAGTGAGTTAAAATTTAACTCTCAATTTACAATTACGTACAAAAATTCTCAATGAGATACAACAAATAAATGCATTTCTTGTAAAAAAGCACTAGTCAATAAAAACAATTTTAATATTCGTCTTGCATACCGTTAGATGCAACTAGTGTCTATGTGCATTAAAAGGTTTCGTCGGGATTGACATGTTTGAAGGCATTTGATATATACTAGTCAACGCTTATTTCCATAAAAATTCTCATGATTGTGACGTGTAATGTTTTTGTAAGAAAATAATTGCAGACACATGCACAGAAACTTATGCATTAAAATATCACATTGGGGGACTGATGGAGAGCTAGATACGAAATTAGTGAAAAAAATAATGATGAATAAAATGGAGTTTCTTTTTATACTATTCCTCTTGATGCTGTGAAATCAGCAAAGGTGGCTGAGGACTCCCAATAACGTCACTGCAGTGATAAAAATAATGATGAATAAAATGGAGTTTCTTTTTGTACTATTCCTCTTGATGCTGTAAAATCAGCAAAGGTGGCTCAGGGCACCAAATGATGTCACTACAGTGTCTGTGATCGGAAGGTCCTAGCGTTCAAGCCCCAGCGGTGGTTTGTATTATGTTCCATTTGCATTATAAACAGAAACCAGGAAGGGATTTGTTGAGCGGACCCGGAGAGTGTGTCAGGACATCAACTGATATCACTGCAGTGCCTCAGACTGGGAGATCCCGGGGTTTGAGTCCCGACGGTGGCAAGATGTTTCGACAGTAGCCAGATAGCTAGGTTGAGATCTGTTGCTGTCCGGAGAAGAATTCTAGAGGACGGTTGCTCTGATCAGCAGTTTTCTGTGGTTTCTCCTATCAATGCCAGGTGAATGCTGTGAAGTATCCTACCAAACGGGTCACGCACTAACACTTGCATACACTACACTACCACACATGCCGAGAGGTCGGTCTGGTGTTTACAGCTTATTTCGAATGGGGTGGTGCCCCACTGTTGGGAGATACCTGGTTGGAAAAATGCCAGCTAGCCGATGATAGGTCGCCACCGAATCTCACCATCCAGCGGAGGAAAAGATCTCCGCCACCTCCCGAGAAAAACAAATCAACATACACAACATTATAGGTCTAATGACCTTAGCAGTTGTTGAGCCCGGAATCACCAGTAATCAATCAATCGTTAAGCGGATTTTGTCCACAATGTTTTGAAATTGGGCATTGTCTACTTGTATTTTCACCACTTGAATTGTTATTGAAACATAGAAAGATATGTGAAGATACATAGAAATTATTTTTATTCCTGTTTTGAATTTTTAGAACGAACGAGTCAAATGCTAATTAAAATATGAGAAATTGTTTATCTCCTAACGATGAATTAGGGTAGAGGTTATAGACTCTTAACGAATCATAGTATTTAATCTCCGATAGTAGTTGAATAAGTTACCAGGAAGCCAAATTGAGCGATTAAAATGATTACTTGGAAAATTTTACGATTATCTACGACGACCTTATTTCTTTGATTCTGAAAATCGCTTCCAGGAAGA